AGTTAGTCTAGATATCAATTTTCAGTTAATTATCTTTATTCTATTTGAAGATATGGCTAATTGAAAATGCAACTTTACAAATATGTCATAATTGATAGCAAAAAAGGGGTATGACCCTAAAATTTCAAAAGGCCGTAACTTTTAAACGACTTGGCAGGGCTTGCCCTAACTTTTTTTGGTAACTAGCCCACTGGGCTAGTTTACTAGAGATTTTACTAGCCCACAGACTATTTTACTAGCCCACAGATAGGAAAAATTTTGTTTCAAAATATTTATTAGCGACAATTAAATTTGAAGGTTGATTTGCAATTTCATAATTTCTGTAGCATTGCTGTTTGAGCTACCCCCTCAATTTAGGGTTGAATAAATAAATAAAAAATCTCCCATGCTGTAAAATCAACTATGGTTATAACACTAACAGGGACAGATGAGCATGCTTTGCATCTCCCTGGTTATAATGTCGGCATTGTAATATTTAACAAAGGGCCCAGAAATCAATCAAACCAATGCATCTGTTAAATCTTCAGGTCTCAAGTCACTCACCCCCAATGGCAATAAATCTTGCTTATAGGCTAGACTAGGCTACCTTGGCCTAGGACTAAACAAGACCCAGGGCCTAGGCTAGCCTAGCTTCCTATAGCATTGAATTACTTAATTATTAAAAGTTGAACATTTTATAAATATCATTATGAGAAAATAATGTGAATACAAGGTAGTACATTAAATTAAATGTACCTAAATCAACCCGATTCAACGATCAAACGATCTTATGTTGAGAGAGAGAGAGATAACATGCCATCCTGTAGTGGTTGGTGAATGACTTGGGGATCATCTTAATAATTCAACATTGGATCATCTTAATAATTCAACATTCGCGCATGTGGAGAGCTGAACGCTAGCTAGAGTGTTCTCTCTGGGCTGCGGTACCTCTTGTGCAGGGATTGTCTCGAAAGTTTTGTTTTTTTTGTTTTTTTTAAATGTTTTTCTTGCTAATTCTTCACTAGACAACCGGGCAACTTGATGAGTAAATAGGCTAGCCCGGAGCGGTTTTTACTAGACATTGTACGTCGGGCTAGTACTAAATCGAGCCCTGCTTGGAATTGGCAAGTCAAATTTTGGGTTTGTCCGTCAGACATGTTGGTGCACATTATATCCAAGTTTCAAGAAAATCTGAGACGGTACCCAGCCATCCCATTTGTTGAGTTGGCACGGAATGACCCTTATAAAAGCCCATCCCATCTTGTTAGCGCCTGTCAACAGCAAGAAAGCTATTGAATTGCCACCCACTGTTTCAAGTTATGCCTGGAGGCTACAAGTTGGTACTTCCAACACGGCAAGTTTGGCGAGTTCGCCAAGTAGCCTTTTGTCCAGATGGTGTTGTAATCACGTGTAATCCAGACCGTTTATACTACACACATCAGAGAAGCCGTGTTCGTCAATCCGTGTTCAGAGTGTAAGGCTATGTTCACACACACGGCGTAAGGCTGGCTTAAGCCTGGCGTAGCGTACGCCTTTGTGTGTGAACTAGGCAGTGGCGCTGTTAAAGCAACTCACTACGCCACGTCCTTGGCGTTATTAACGCTACCTGCAGACCCCAGATTAGCTAACGCCACTGAGCTAACGCCAGTGATGCTTGAATGATTTGACCTCATTTCAAGAGATTGACCAATCACGATTGCAATATATTAGCTACTTTAGTCTCTTTTCTGTGCTCTCTATAAATGAAATGGTAAAGGGGTTCCTTTTCTATTGCATTTTACTTAGTTATAATGTATATGATTTATTGATTGTGTTTTGTAAGATATTTTAACCATTTAGGGCCTAGACTGTCTATTAAAACATGCAACATCAACAATGCTAGCTGAAAAATCAAAAGTAAAATTGTTCATTTAAAGTACAATAATCATATAAGCTCACTTCGAACAATTCACAGATTTAAAAGTTTTCATGATGCACTGTTAATTTTACTACTGTTAACACGTACATTATTTAAAACTGAAAACTATTCCACATAGGCCTATATTACTGCTAGTTTAACGAACGCCGTTTGTGTGAACACTTTGGAATTTTAACTCGTGGATTAGCTTACGCCTGGCGTAAGCCACGCAAGTCTTACGCCGTGTGTGTGAACATATCCTAATATAAACGGGCCCCTAGACTTAAGGGTCGACCTTGTTGATAACCTTCAGAGGCTTCATCATCAGCTATTGTCGGTTTACTTCTCTACAAATGTTGCAGGATGTTGACGCCAAATCCATCTTTTTCTCTGGCTGTGTTGCATCATTCCACTCTTCCCCCATAAATATCGATCTCATCTCTTAATATTTTACGTTGTTTTCCCTTGTTCGTTTTGCCATCCATGGGGTTTGTTACTGTTTGTATTTGTTTGTACTTCTGCTGACTCCAAGTTCAACAACCGTAATGAAAATCACTGAGCCAAACCGCATTTTTACCATTATTGTATATTAATAATAATAATATTAATTTTAATATTATTTTATTTATTTGTATTCATTCCCCTCCCTCACTAGCTTGGCTAGGCCTTTCTACTATTGCTACCAGTGTGGATAAAACATAGGTACCGTATGATATCTCGATAATAGTTAGCCTAACCCTAACCCTCTTCAGCATTGAAGAGGGTTAGGATATCACCAAGATAACTGTCTTTGGGTAGAAATTCTTATGTGAAATGTTTTTTTTTTTTTTAGGTATGATCAGTCAATGTGCAAATTAAGCCAGATATAAACGAAGAAGACATGAAACTAAGAGAATTGTGAGAAGACCAGTAAAGATCGTTTAACAAAGGAAGTCATTAAACCTAGTAAGTGTGTTAACTTTTATGTTTAATTGCTTTTGTAAATAAGTTGCTGCTATGTCAATGTTTTTTTTTTTAATGAACCAGAAAGAAATGAATGGATGAATGAATGAAAAACCATATTTATAAACAAGGCATTAATGCAACAATTTTAGTACAGTCAACTCTCCCAATACCGACCACCCTTCAGACTGTCCATTTTGACCGGTTTTTCCGGACAGTCCAGTTTAGAGAACGTCATGTTTACCCACCTTGATTCCCTGGCCTTGAGTCAATAATAGGTCTAGCTTGGCAAGGTACAGTCAGGTATACCACACTGTATGTACTGTATACTGCCCTGAGAATGTCATTTAAAATGCGTATTGTACGAATACAATACCTTCTTTTTTTTTTTTGTCAAAGTGTATTATCAATAAAATTTACGCAAATCAACTTGATGTGTATCGTACAATGCAGGCGGAAACTATTGCAATGGGATTCGTAGCTATATCGTTCCAAGCAAGGGTACGAAACAAAGAAAAAATGTGTTGATTATTTATATTTGCAGAAAGACTGCTGTAGCTTACTAGAATATGTAACAGACATATCATAAGCAATACCAGCAGTTAGGTTTCTTGTATCGTCTACGCTGTTTAAAATGCAACGATTAGTCTCTTGTTCGTGTGGCTGTTTTTCTTCTTCTGCTACATATACTTCCTCCATTTCTTTCATGTTGAGTTCATGTAAGGTGGATAGGTTGTCAACACCAACAGGGTTTTCAGTTCTGTGTATGCAACATACATACAAAAAAAAGTTGATAACTTGGTTACATACTGAGATCTTTCATGTAATTGAAAATGAACATAGGTCTGATAAATATTTGCATTCTAATAAAAGTTGATGCATGATGTGTAAAACATCTTATTATGCAATTAATCATTAACCTTTCAGTTGATGGCCACATTTTATATTAATGCAAACATTTTTTTTTTTTTATATTTCAATTTTCAAAGTTTGTAAGTCATTCACTGTAATTTTTGTTGTCATTTTTCTGTTGTTTTAATATTTTACCTTTATAAATCCAAATGCAATTCAGCCTTGTTGCTACTATGTTTTTTCTTATGAATAAATATACCTCAAATGATAATTATTTAATTATGTTAAAAGAATGTAATATTTCATCTAAATTTAATGAAGGAAAGGAACAAGAACAACAAAACAGTAGTAATCATATCAATACTTTTGTTTATTTAAAAAAAAACTTACCTCAGAGACATGTCAATTACAAAGTCATTGAGGTCATCTTCCCCAGGAATCCATGTTACATTTGAAGTATTGGTTACATCAACAGTGATGTCAGTTACAGATAAGTCACCAACCCCTGACATATTTGGATCATTGCTGAAAAGAGTTTGTACAAGAAATTAGCAACAAGAATAAATACATAAAAACGTACATTTTAAAACTTACATATTAGATTTCCTAAAACAAATTGGCAAATTCAATGCGAAAAGAGTATGGCATCATTATTTCATTTATGTATAAACCCAAAAAAGGATAACTAAAAAAAGATTTTTCACAATACTGACAAAGTAGTATGTGGTGTTTAGTACATTATAGCAGTCTAGGGCTACTCATCCCACCTTTAGAACAAGGGAGGTCGGATAATTAATGGCACCATTTGCAAGGTCAGATACAGACACAAACCTAAACTGCTTTTGCTTAGTGCATATTAATTTAGTAAATAATCCATTTTCCTTTGCTGGCATTTCATGTGGTTAGTTTCAGCAATTTGTACCATGTTGTAAATAAATACTTTACAAATATTAACAAATATACTTTACAAAATATTAACTGGTAGCAAAGTAAGTCTACTTTTTTATGGTTTAACATAAAAGAAAATTCCAACATATTTTACTTCAAACCGGTTTCCCTGTGTCTTCTTATCGACTGGTACAGTAGTATACAACAGAGGGACACATGAATGACAGGCTGGAGATAATTGGTATGGTATCCTGTTCTTTGAATTTGTTGACTATCGATACGATTAATTCCGCAATTCAGATGAGCGTTGTTCATATCGTGAAATTGGTACAGTATAAAACGTCCATTTTACGTACCCCTTGGTACCAAGGGGTGTTCGTAAATTGAAAATTTCGTAAAATAGATCGGGTGTCAATTTTCAATACCTAGGCCTAGCTATCCCCTGCAATGAGCGCCGATACGATGACGGCGGCCAGGCCTAGCCCGAACCGACAGTGCAGCAACGTGGTCTATTTGTAAAATGGACGTTTTACTTATGTATAATATAATAATTTGAGTGGACAAGTTGTACAATGTATGTGAATTTAAAAACAATCAAAAGATCTATGGCAAACATTCTTCTCCCTCGCCACTCTCACTGCACTTAACATTGGTTATCACAAGGGTTTATACACTTTGAACTAAGACAAAAATTGCTACCTCCTTGTTTAAACATTTTATTAAAAAACACATCTTTTATAAACACTTTTGGTTATATATAAAAACTTTGGTAAATATGAGTTGCCATGAATGCTGTTATGCTTAAATACTGTACATTACCTGATGTGGAAGGAATTTGTAACATTGCACAACATAAATTTTACCCTGATATGAAAGACAGACTAATGCACCAAACAGTATGAAACAAATATAGTTCTTTTACATGAAGTCTATTAAATGTACAGTATGGTTTTCATTTTTTGGCATTTGCAAACAATACCGTACTCTCAAGGCTGTAAGGATAGTGGAAGTGTAATTTAAGTAACTGCAATAACAGACAATTAAAAATAAAAACATATAAAGTATATAATTAATGTAGACATGCAGTGCTTCCAACTACTTCGATGGAAAATCATCTGCAAAATATGGTTTTAACTAATTAATGTTTTGTATACTGTATTTATACTTTGCAAGCTGAATATGAAACAATACACTCACCACACAGCAATAACATGGTCAGAATTTAAAAAAATAAATGTATATAATAGATATGCATGCAATACCTACAACTATCTTCATCCAAAAAACAGAAGAATTAAAACAAATAAAATGTATACAGTATATATAGACATGCAGACAAATGTATTTGTCTAAAATAGAGAGAGAGCTAAGCAAAAGAAGGGATTTAACAAACTACTGTGTTGTTATCCACATGGTTTATATGGGATAAAACAAGATACTGTATAATTTTGGTGGTATGTAATCTACAATAGTGTTGCATTTTCTTTCTTCTTTTTTTTCAACACACATGGGTAGTGAGAAAAAAAAACAAAACAAAAAAACAAACTAACATTTTAAGCCACAACTGGATGTGGTCCCTAAAAAGGTTTTTTACTGTGATTGGTGACTTTGGTATGGCCAATGTTGTTGTTGCTGCTGCCAGTCCAGTTGCTGATGCTGTGGGTTATGCTGTTGTTGCTGTGAATAATTTGGCTGAACCTGTGGACCAATCAATGAATTACCAAGAAGGGCAAGCAAGTCTTGTTTGAATTGCCTATCACTATCCATTTCCTTCGCTTGGGAGTCCATTTGTTTTTCTAGTAGCGATACAACTTTGTTAGTAGCTTCACTAGTCTGTCTGTGGTATTCTTCCATACGCTTTTCTTGGTGCTCGTCAATCTTTTTCCACCTTGTAAAATTGTAATCCTGTAGTTCCTTCATTTTTTAGTAATGGTAACTAAAGTTCTTTCCTCTTTGTCTTTGCTCTTGACATCTAAAGAGTAGTAATATAAAATTTAAAAAATATGTATTTGAATAAATACCATCCCACTCCTTCTGAGAAATAAATGCCCACCCCACTCTTCCGCAGTTCAAGAGTTGATTTTTGTTGTTCAAGGTGAGTTCTTTCAACACTGAGGGTGTCTCCCAGATGTCCTCTCCCTCTGATGATTTATCAACATCAGGTGGCGATGTTGGTGACCTCGCTCCGAATTTCAATTTTGGTCAAATGTTTCGTTGTCCGATAAGTATTCCCACCCTATAAAAAACATATGCTGCATAGATAACTATGTACAGTATACAATATATTCGGTACAGTTTTCTGTCGGCCTACTGTGCTTAAACACAAACATTCCTTCCCAAATAATTTTCTTTTTCAATTTATAATGAGTCAGTTTTGGGAGAGGGCAGCATTTTCTTTTTCTTATTTAGCAAAGTTTTGTCAAAAACATCCAGATGGAGGAAAAAATAAAATTTTTTTGGTGGCTGTAGTAAAATAGGATGGTGAAATGCTTCAAAATTATTTAATTACGACAAAAAATACACATAGTACTTGATCTGTCATACTTAAAACAATATCATACCTAATATTCTTCTTTTCTTAATCCCAAAGAAATTACTTGGACAAGACTCAGAATGACTGGAATAGGCACTGCTGATCTTCCTTTTCTTAGGTAGCACTGACCGAACTGGAATAACTAAAAATATATAAAATTAATTTAAATGAGTAATACAGTAAATATTGCATGAGAAAAAATTATAAAAAACAATTAGTACTGTTCTATATTCTCATGCAATCATTAGTTCTTATGTTAGAGTTTCTCTCTTGCCTGTTGGTCAACAATCATTCTAGCAGTGCATTTGAGTATGTATTGTTTTGTTATTGAATGATGTATTTTTTAACCAAATACACATCAACTCTACTCTATGTTATTTACCTTCAATGAAGCATTTCCTGTGCTCCCATATCCTTTGTCAGATTCGCTGGCCGGCTCACCAACACAAGGCATAATAATGTGAACATATTTCTTGTAAATTTTGCAAGTATGTGCAGTTCCACATTCTTTGCCACAGCTTACGCACTTTGAAGTATCATCTACAAAAGAAATCATTAATATTTTCTGTAAATTCAACTTTATGAATTCTTGTATAACAAGCAAGGGAACACATATACAATAAATTACTGTTGCAGTCATGAAATGGTCTTCAGAGTTCAAAGCAACACAAAATGTATCCTAGCAGAAAGCGTCTAATATGCAAGCATTGGATTAAAAAAAAAAAAGAAAAAAGAAAAAAAAAATCATCACAGGAAACATAGGCCCAAGGCCTACAGTACTGATTACAGGACCTTCTACATCTCCTCGCGTGGGCCACGAGAGTGATTGGCGTGGGACTCGCGAGTGATAAGCTAATGAATAACTAATGACTAAGTGACCTATATGACATCTGTTTATCCAAGCATTACGGCATTGAGTAAAAATCAGGCTCCGCGAACCGCTACCTATTTCTCGATACCAACGATGTTGTTTATTACCAGACAAAAGAGGGCTTGCCCTAATTAAGTATGCAAGCAACGCTACAACGCAATTCATTGACATTGGAGGTTAATATTAAGTGTACGATTATGGCCGCGGACCTAGGGTAGCCTATAGGCTAGGCCTCAAGGCAAGGAGGTGGCCGTTTGTTCTAGGACAGCCTGCTCGGTATTCGCGTTACCCACCATCCCTCGCCTATGCCTAGTTTTAATAATAAAAATAGGATATAAAAAATATACTTGCAATCAGGGCTTTCCAAGAGGCTTCTTTGTTTGTATCTCGCCGATAAATCTCATTCCACATTTCAATGAGGTCCCGTTCCTTATGAAAAGTCCATTTACACCGTTTCATTTTAAATTTACAGACGAACGAAATACTGTACCTACTATGTATAAGCGAATATTTTCAGACCAAGAACTGTTAAAATTGAAACAGGCCGCGCGAAAGAAGGATGAATGCGCGAAAGAAGGATAAATGCAATGAGGTCATATGCGGTGACCCGTTTAACAAGCAGAACGCTGATTGGTTGAAATCGATCTCATGAATTAATTTATCACGATAAACTTGGTTACTCATGATGCATCAACGTGCTCCACTAGATCACGATAAGGTGATTAAGCTGAGCAGGTTATTTTATTCTGGTCGGTTCAAAAAAAGTGACTGGCTTGATCATGCTCCACTAGATCACGTTAAATTCTGAATGTGAACCTAGCTACTATCTCTAGTTCATTATTATTATTATTATTATTATTATTATTATTATTATTATTATTATTATTATTATTATTATTATTAATATTGTTATTATTATTATTAAAACTTTATTTTTACACTGAAAGCTTGTCTCACCCAGAGGGTGTTATTTTACAAGGCTGTGTTGTCATTGAAATTGCAAAATAACAGTATAGAAAAAATACTAACACATAATCAGAAAAAAAGACAATATTATATACAAATACGAGATACAAAAAATGAAGCATAAACCAAAAATTTACTAAAGTGTTTTAATTATTTTAACATTTGATGCATTTCTAAAACATTCATCCAGTGTGTTCCAGAGAATAGTACCATGGTAAGATAAACTTTTCTTTATTTATTCCGTGTGAGAACGATCAACTTTTAAGAATTTGTTTTCTAAATTTTCCCAATTTAAGGTCTGCAAGGCTTGTGTACTTGAATCATCTTTTTTTTTGTACTGGTTTGGTCATTTATCAAAAGATCGAACTATTTTCCTGATTGTGTTAGGCCCTAACTTGTTATATGATGGTTAACTGCCACTGTTGTGAATTGGTGCATTGCATGATGGGCATGGTTGTTGTCAGCTGTTATTACCATTGTGAGTGAGTCAGTTACAGTATCGGTGCACTGTGGGCATCTATAATATACCACAATTGGATGCAATGTTGCAGAGTCGTGGCCCCAATGTACACTCTGTATTTCGATTTGATATCTACAAGCGTAATTTTCGGCGAAATCAAGAACCATCATCAGCCAACCTTCTGGTTGGCTGATTCCTGGCTGCCATGCAGCATTAAATAAATGTTGAGAAATTGTGTTGGTCTCTTCTTTTAGTTCTGCTACTGCTGTAGGTGTAGGGCTCTATCTTTTGTCTGCAAGATCATTTTTTATGTCTTCTTTCTGTTATTTAGTTTTGTTTCTCTAACCCACTTTCTCCATTTTACCGGTGCTTGTTGTTTAGTAATTATTTCGGTAAGATGGTAAGAAATCTTGCCTACACCACATTTGTCACACTTCCGTTTGATGCACTTATGTCTTCTCACACATAGTGGCGTTACTATTAAGATTGTACAGGCTTATAAAGGGTGATTGCATGTGGTGAATATGGGCAGTCTTGTTTATTGCTGTTAACTTAAGTTTGATAATTCGCACAGTCTCACATAAACACCCTC